TCATCAAACACTAATGTTCCTTGTCACTACTTATACTTTGACTGCCTCTACCACTACGGGATTTGAATTGATAACTGAATCTCTGTACTAATGTGGTATAGCAACTCGAACTGATGTGCGTACGTATGAAGTTCTACGTTGTTACTGACTGACTGACTTCCATTGTGTAGAAAAAGCAGTTGAAAAATATGAATATGTAGTTTTGTGTTCTAGACACCAGATTCCCATTTATCGTGTCTGTGATCCAATTACCCACTAATGTTCTAACAGACTGATATTGTCACGAGTCCTCACAATTACCGTGGCTCATTTCGCATACCATAAATTTGTATTTGTTGAGTCCCGCGGCTTTTTTCATTTTCAACGAGCCAGTTATTAGTGACAAGCTACAATCTTTAGTCTGTCAGTGTACGCTACTTCTGTGACTTTTGATATATAGTGAAAAGAATTGCACATGAAGTGGTTGTGAAAGCTGAACATATAGAAGCTTATTTGATGGACAGATAAGCCTTGAGTTGATGTCGGAAGGCAGTTTTAATACTACTATATTTTATAAATTGAATAGTTCTGAGCTGTTATCAAGCTATATAAAGTTTACATCGAAGATACCTATCGCAAAACATTCTGGTCGTTTTGTTATTTGACTATCGAACGGTTCTTTTTGCTGATGTTTGCATTCACCGTAATTTTTACAAGATACTTTATTCTGTGTCACCCATACTTTGTATCATTTGATTTCCTTATAAATCACTATTCAATTTCTTGACAGGAACATGTTACTACTAGTAATACTAACCGTAAGATACGTGCAGGTTTGTTCATTAAGCGACTATATATTGTGTGATATTTGTCTTCAATTTATTAGATGGTAGTGAAAGCCACTTATCAGATGATGTTTGATATGCTTAGAATGTTTGACTTAGTTTGAATAACATCGTATCTGAAATGTTAGTATACATAACCGTCTGATGCTTAATCGGGGATGGTTTTAGACTTGTGCGTATAAATGAAATATGTTTATTCTTCGGGTTTCGGAATGTAGGAATACTTACCGACACTTGAATATAGTTGTTTTTTATTTGATTTCGACTTTGTTGATAAGTCAGTTTAATCTCGGTATTTGTCTCTAAAAGGCCTACCAGGGAAGTACATAAACCTCTTAAATACTCACTACTCAAATACTTTAGATTAAACCAAGGCTTATGGAGAATTGTCGTCTGAGCTGGCTGGCTACGTTAACCGGCGTATGTTAAGGTTGTCAATTATCTCATTTTTTAAAAATTTCATCGTAGATGTCCTCGAAATCATACACGGTAAAATATGACTCACTGTAGACAATGTAAAATACGACTCAAGAAGCTAAACCATAGTAGATTTAGTACTATTGTCTTGTATCTGTTGTAAGTAGATATGAGATTTAAGCGACTTCGTCGACGACTTTCAAATATTTATCGAACTATCTTTAACGATTGGTATTATGTATATTACGAAGAAACATATGAGTTGTGTTTTCATTTAATCTGTTTGGTTATCGGTAGTTGTTCGAGTAATTTCAATAATCGTCTACCAGTCTCCATTGTCTTTTAAGTGAAATATTTATAAATCGAGTTAATAAATGTATTTGATAGATATTTTTTCCTATCAGATGTAAATATCTGATTTCATTAAGTTATCACTCTAAACTTTTATTCTAGGCTCGAGTTTCTCGAGATGCTGATGAATACCTGATCAATCCCATTGGTTTACTGTACAACGAACTAACCGCCTCTTCTCTCGTAAAAATTAATCTTGAAGGTAAATAATATTAATTAATTTTAAACTGATCATTAGAGTACTAACATTTTTAAAGTCATTTTCCTACTGTATATTACGATTCGTTTTACTTAACACTTTCAAATATATTTGTGTTTTATATTCTACCTGATTTAAATATGTATTCAGGAGTTACCGTAGGTAATTCTGATCAGTAAATAAGAAACAAACGGACAGATGTTACTAGGCTAAGGCGTTAGGTTAAGTTGTTAGTTTGTGGGAAAATCTATAAATAAAGGAGAAAATTAGCGTTGGTTTCGTTTTTTAGGCAGATGTCTCTAGTTATGGGCTATCAGAGTTATTGACGACTAATATGTAGAAATATTTTATTAAAATTTTACTCCGCCCGAACCATTTCCCTTTTTACAAAACTTGTGGGGTTTTAATGTCAAAGGTTCACATTTCTCTCGGTCGATTTATAACACTTTACCGATCGGCACTTATACTTATATATCATAAATTATACTTATAATTTTTTAACTTCATCTGTTCTTTTTTATGTTTGGTTCATTACTACTACTCTTGAACTTCTTTAGACTTAATCTCATTAATTTTCTCTCTCCGCTGATATGAAGGATAGCAACTTGTACAAGCAAAAAACTGTCCAATGTCTTAAACTGTTGATGGCTAGACAGATTTGGAACCATTCTCACTGCTGGTTACAAACTTAAATTATGCGTGCATCTAATAAATTTGATTATTATCAGATGGGTTTTGTGGATATTATAGTAATTTCAATGGTTAAGATCATAAGTCAGTTGAAACTAGACCACCATAGAAAACCTGTAAGCACTGGACGGCCGTTTCGTCGTACTTCGGAACTCCTCAGAGGTGCTCATCCACGACCTCGCCCCCTGCGAGATTCGAACCCAGGACGTACTGGTTTCGCCCGCGAGCACTTAACCGCTAGACCACTGAGCCGGCATCCAACGGTGTTAATGTCTAACTTCAACTAATCCACGAAATTGAGCGGCTCAGTGGTCTAGCGGTTAAGTGCTCGCGGGCGAAACCAGTACGTCCTGGGTTCGAATATCGCAGGGGGCGAGGTCGTGGATGCACACCTCCGAGGAGTTCCACAATACGACGAAACGGCCGTCCAGTGTTTCCAGGTTTTCCATGGTGGTCTAGCTTCAACTGACTCATAATCTTAACCATTGAAATTTTATTATGTTATAGACTTGAATGTGTTATTAATAATATTATGACATATTCACAAGTGTGCTTGGTCTGTTAATTTCAAATATTGATTATATGTAATCCCACTTATTGTTATTGTCATCGTAATTCAGTAAAATTAGGTCACTTTCAATTGTTTTTAAATCTGTAAGCTATTTAGCGAACGCAATGTCCTGTTATGTATGTATAGTAAGTTCACCTATTCCTTGATTTTATTCGTATTTTTTTCTATTTGTATCAATAATGTACGTTTCTTATATAGTACTAATTTCGACTTCATCTGAAACATGGATGTGATTGTGTTGGCCTTTAGTTAAATTAAAAAAATCAGCAGGGTTATTTCTATGTCGAATGGAAATATATCCTTTAACACATTTACACAGAATTCAGTAAAACTCGTTTGTTAGTTCCCCGTTCTAAAACAGTATTTTTTGAAAATGAGGTACGATATGTCCAGTAGATATGGTTATGTATGGCAGAATTCAAATTGATGATCCTTGAACACAGCAACCAATTGCTCTGTATTGTTCTCTGAAACCAATCCCCTAGCAATTCAGAAATTGTGTGTTCATTTTTCTGAGGTCTGGAACTATGAAACGGTTGTATTACAGATATGTTTTGTAACTGCTATGTTTGAAGAGATTACGATATTACCTGAACCGCTGAGCGGAGTGATCAGCAACACAACAACAGGACAAGCTAAACTATTCCACTGCACTCCAGCCCGGCTAACTAGCGAGAGAAAACCCGATTCAGCTGAGGCGAATGTATATGTATTCAACAAGCAACCCAGAGGCACGAAAGAACAAACAAACAATACATGCGTATATATATAGCACAAAAATGTCCCTGGAAAACGTCACAAAATAGCGTACTAAAAGACATAACGAACCAGTGATACTTAAAGTCCTTCTAAGTGGTTGATACAAACTGAAGGTAAAAGTGGGGCTTTCGGTGTGAAGATGAGAAATCCAAATTTCTGAAATAAAATTACAAAAAATGAGATGTTTACCAGGTGATTTCTGGGGATCTAGCATTACCGACACCTGCACTTTTTAATAGCGTATGTTCTTAGTGTTCACTTGCATATTGACCGTTTGTCACTGTTGTCGTAGTGACTACTTTCTGGAACGTAGATAGGTTTTCTGTTGTACTTCTTGCGTAGGGACTGCGGGTAGGTTGAAGGTATTCAGCAAAACTTCGAGCGGGAGATTTCTGTTTCTCTGTGTGATTTGGGGCATACCGCCTCCGTAGCTGATTTCAGTGTCGAGTCTACCTGTCTCTTCCCACCTCTACTTCATACATGACTTGGCCTAGCCTTTCGACCACATGTGCTTCAGTTTAAGGGTCATAGTTCGGTCTTTAGTCCCAAACGAACACCGGACATCCAACCCTGTACGTTAGCAGCTCCTGGGACTTAGTCTATAGTGGCGGTGGTCGTGTGGTTCTCAGAAGCATCAGGTTGTGGGTCATCCTCAGTCTTCTTCCCATGAAGATCTCTGCTCTGAACTTCTGTTCTGATAACGTATCATTTAAAGTCGTTCGATAAACAAATAAGAAATTCTGTAGTAATTCGACTGGCATCCCCTCACTTTTCGACTTAAGTAGGGTCTTCTTAAACGTGTCCACAAACCTTTCTGCTTGGCCATTTGACTGTGAATGGTAAGGGGACGAGCGGAATTGATTGATGGCTAGCCGTCGGTAGAATTATTTGAACTGGCTGGAAGTGAACTGCGAAACGTTATCCGATACAATTACATCCATTCTCCGTCAAGAGCTGTTGCGTTCTGGTCCTCGTTGGTGGCACGATGAGGAGGATTCCTGGCCATTTCAGAAACGCATCAACTACAACTAAATAAGTGGTCCCGTTGATTGGGCCAACGAAGGAGACATGTATCGTGGACCAGAGATATTCATACTGTGGCCATGAAAGACCATTATGCATAACTTTCAGCTACAGACTTCATTCGTTCTACACCAAGATGATCAATATGAAACTGCTTTAGCACCTTGGGTCGTTTGTATTCTAGCACAACCACTCTCTCTTCAAACATCAAACATTCTTTAACGATGGTAAAATTGGTTTATGCCACCATCAAACTCAGTAAACGGTCAGCCTTTGGTGACCTCGCTCATCGTTTTTTAATGATAGGTTCGTTCCTGGAGGCAGCTTGTATCTCTGACACTATCACTGGCAAAGCACGATTGGCAGTCGTTATGTAACATTCCACGTTGTCTTCTGTCGAAAGCGAGACGACAACCTTGTCTTCTACCGTAGAGTGTTCACTGACAAATGACAAAGCGTCTGTCTGACCAAAATGTTGGGTGCGTCGACAGTAAATGTCGAGGTCAAAACTCAATAGTACTAAGGCTCGACGCTGGAGACGATTTGCAGAATGGACTGGAATAACAGATTTTGAACTGAAAACCATGAGAAGAGGCTTGTGGTCTGTTAGAGGAGTAATTCTTTGACCGTATAAGAACTTGTGGAAACAACGAACCGAATAGACAGAGGCCAGTGCCTCTTTCTCTACCTGGCTGTACTTCTTTTCTGCCGGAGTTAACGTTCTGATTGCATGCATTGTAGCTTTTTCTACCACGCCTGGAAATTGATGTGAGACGACGGAACCAAGTCCAAAAGCTAAAGCAACCCCAGCCACAATGATTGGCATGGACTAATCGTAGTGCGTTAATAATAATGCCGGGCTAATAATCGTCTCGAGTTTGCAACAAGCGACTTCACATTCTTTTGTCCAATTCCAGGTGGTGCTCTTATTCAGCAGACAATTCAGTGGGTCCTGGATGTCATGCATCGACGAAACGAATGCTGAGTAATAGGGAATTAATCCTAAAAAGGATTGTAGGGCAGGGATATTAGTGGGATTAGGCATCAATTGTACAGCTCAGATATTTTTAGGGCCTGATCGGCGGTCTTCAGCGTCGAAGATGAAGCCTAAATACTTAACTAAGTTTAAGGAACCAATTATTATTAATGCGTTGCAGCACAGCCATCGTGCTTTCTTGTAGCTCTTCTAACGAAGCGGCAACGGTTAAGATATCGTCAAGATAGGTTGCGACCCCGGAATACCCGATAGGATAGTATCCATTAATTGATGTAAAATAAACAGGGCCGTTTTAACTCCTAATAGCAGACGATTATACAGAAACAACCGACGATGGGTATTAACGGTTAGCTGTTTTCTCGATTATTCAGCAACTTCCGCATGTAAATAAGCATCAGCATGGTCCAACTTTGCGAACTTCCCACCACTCAGCATAATATTTCCAAAAGGTCACTGGGTGTCGTTCATCTGTATTTCGCATGACTAATAGTAACTTGAAGTATTTTATTTTCCCTTTGCAATTAAAACATTTTTAGGTATTCTTTTATCTATTGTTTATAAGCTTTACGGTTCTGTCTAAATAAATTATGCTTGAATATAATTTTTTCACATCTATTTCAAAAGGAAAAAATTGAGCTAAACCTAGTTATGTCCTATGTACGATACAGGAAGTGTTGTCATCAATGTACAGTCATGCTTTCATATATATGTTCCTATTTTAGATATTTTACGGTAACACTATGTTATGTGTAGCTGTTCTAAAGTTTGTTGCAATAACCCATGTTTTCACATGATTAGTTCTACACTTACCTTTACTAATGATAGTTAAAGGGGAGAAAAATGTCCAACGGCCATCTAAGATAAGTCAAAGTTTACTTAGTAGCTAATGTGTAAATATTTTTTTCACTTTAGGGTCTATTTTGGTTCAAGGATCTGTTGATCTAGGCATCGATAGGCAGAGTTGGATGTTGCATGCAGCTGTTCACAGTGCCAGACCAGATGTCAGATGTATTATTCATCTAAGTACTTCAGCTGCAGTAGCAGTAAGTTTATTTCTGTTCAACAGTTACAAACACTTCACACTTATTTCTACGTAACTGTCAACCTTCTAGGAAGTCGAAGTACTTCTTAGCAATCGGTTTAGCAGTGGTATATTATGTAGGTTCTTTTTTATAGGGATGGGAATTTCGAATCCGTTGGGTTCCCATGGTAACCTAAATGACTGCGAAGCGAACATGAAAACTACTACTGTTAGTTGTCGGGGTGTTAAATGTTTGCTGTTCAGTCAGATTTTTTTCTTGTCATCAGTTATTTGTGCTACTAATTGTAACTTTTTTAGACCACAAAATGCTAGATTCAATTCTATTCTCTTTTCCTATGTACATAGGTAAACTGATTCTTTGTAATTGGATTTATGGACAGGGTTGCACTTGAGGTTCGGTAATAAAATTTTAAATTATGTATTAACATAGTGTTAATTGCCAAGGAAAGGTTCTGAAACTCGCTATGATTGTTGGTCGAAATAAAATTATTTTATTGATGTCATGAACCGATGTAGGTTAAACCACCACTGACAATTTGTAACGGCTACTTCATCCTAGTGTAGAATTCAGCTGTGCACATCCACGATACCTCAAGTGGGAGTTGTGAACGCCCTAACCTTCTAAACCACTGAAACTCAATCGTGGATGCGCACTGTTGAGTAGCCCTATACTAGAACGAAATGGTCGTCCAGTGTTTCCAGGTTTTCAGTGTTTGTGTAACCTAGATGGGTTCATAATTCCAATAAAATCCAACTTTCTCTGCAACTCCATACTGAAAATCATTTAATCTAAAACACATGAAGTTCCGTACATTTAAATCGGTTCACGATATTCACTTAAATTTGATTGTGTTTTGATTTATATGGTCTAATTTACCGAAATTGCACCCAAGAGTATTTACAATAATTTTCTAAATTTCTTTTAATTACACATTATTGTGCTGTCGCGTTTTTCATATCCTCAGTCAGTTAGTAATGAGCGATGTTGGACCTTGAACAAATATTTATTGATCGAAGTTGCCACATCACAGCATAACAAGATCATTAACATGATAGCTGTAGTAGTCGTATTCATATTAACAATAGTTATAAAGATTAGAAATATGGTTCAATAAAAACGGATGAATTCTCAGAGTGAAAGTATTAAGTAATATTGAAGGTGATACAAGGATCTAGGGCTAGTGAAAAATCAGATGCATTTACACCGCTGACTGATTTTGATTCACGTCTCCAAACAGTGATCACGATTATAGTGATTAGGTTGACTAATATCTTAGCTAAAATCTGGGAGTTGGACGTAATCACATCTAACTGGTCACAATCACTGATTGTCCCAATATATAACAAGGGGTCAAAATCATCCTGTGATAACCATAGAGGGATTAGTTTGACTAATATAGCATCTAAAATATTGGCCTCAAGAATTACTGGAAGCCTAAATAAGACTTGGGAACAGCAAACACGGGGAAATCAGGCTGGCTTCAGACCTGGTTGTGGCTGCGTCGACCACATATTCACCATTCGTCAGGTTTTAGAACACAGGCATACTTATCGGCGTCCGACACTGGTGGTCTTTCTTGACTTAAAAGCAGAATTTGATTATGTAGACCGAGAGGTTCTGTGACTGTGGCTGTCATTGAAAGGTGTACCTCATAAGTACATAAATCTTGTAAGGGCTCTTTACTCAAACGCTACCAGTTGAGTCAGAACTTATGGCAAAATGTCATCTGACCTCGAAACCTCAAGTGGTGACCATCAAGACTGTCTGCTATCCCCATTTCTGTTTAACTTCATCATAGATGACATAGTCCTATTTGGTGAAGATGCTGATAAAATGCAGAGTCTTTTGGTGGCACTGAGCAACAATGCCAGGATGTTTGGGATGCGCTTCTCCCCCTCTAAATGCAAGTTGTTGCTTCAGGACTGGTCTGCATCAACGCCTGAACTAAGGATAGGGCGTGAAGTAGTCGAACGCGTTGACAACTTCACTTATCTTGAAATTCCGATCAGTCCCCCTCCTAGAATAACCACCTGCTTCAGTTTGAGCATCCGGGCAGTATCCTAGTCCTCACACAAATCGAATGATTTATGTAGCGCATATCTATTTGGTGCCTCCTTTGTACCAATGTTTATGCGTTTAAATAAATAAAGAATTAGCTTTCTTTCTCGAAATGCTTTAACTTGGCCACGCGTATACAGTCACTGACAAGGATGTCCTACTCATTGCCTTCTCGCGGTAGGGGTGTTGTTTACGAAATTGAGAGGGCGAAAAGCGAATATCCGGCGCTTTAACCGGGTTGGTAGAGACGGGAAGTGCACCTAGGGGAGTTGGAAAACCCTGATTTCAAACCAATGGTGCACATGGACTCCAGTATTCTGAAGGAACAAATGGCGTATGAACCTATTGTTGGTCACCGGCTACCATGGGACCGCATCTCCTTACGTTGCTCCACTTCCTCGTAGATCAGACCTTTAGGTCGAAGGCTCCGGATGTGGCCCCCTAAAATAACCACCGACTCCAGTTTGGGCACCCGGGCCTTACACCAGTCCTCACACAAATCAATTGAGATTCATGTGGCGCATATCTGTTTGGTGCCTCCTTTGTACCAAAACTCATGTGTTCGAATAATAAATGTATATATAAAATAGTTCTCATATTTTGCCAAGACATTCTGTAATTTTCTATTAAAATACATTGGTTGTCCCCACCTATGTTTTCGCTCACTATACTACTACTACTTCTACAAATAATAATAACTAAAAATAGTGGTAATGACGATAATAGTAGTAATGACTACTACTACTATTGATAACGATCGTAATTACAGTAATAATAATAATTTTTTTAGTTGTAAGTGAGGTTCCTCCGGTTGCGGCTGTTTATATATATCGCTTCAGGAAAAATTTTCTGTATATGATTGTTTATTGTATGAATAAAATTTATAGTATAACGACTGAACTTTTACACTCAATTTTTTTCAGGTATCATGTACAAATGCTGGTCTTTTACCAATCAGTCAAGAAGCCATGATTTTGGGTGACACAGCTGTTTACGACCCGTTAATTGTTTTGAATAATCTTCAGCAAAATAGGGAAGAAGACTTAGACTCTCGTAAAGAGCGTCATTTTGATGCACAAAAAGCAGAAATATCTCGAATATTTTCGGAAAAATCCCCCAGTTGTATGGTTTTATTGGTTCGTAGTTATGGTCTTTTAGCTTTGGGACAATCGATTGAGGAAGCATGGTTTATTGCTTTTACATCCATGTTAGCGTGTGAAGCACAGGTCGGTTTAAAATAATATTGGGTAATTGTTAGAATCTCATCGCTAACTCTTTAGTATATATAAACTTTTTTGAAGTATTTATTCACACTTAGATTATATGTTAAAGTGATTTTTGTTTTATTGTTTATTATTCTTGTATTAATTGGAATTATATCACCTATTGTTCCACGAGTTACGATACCTTTTTTGATTCCTGTTTGTTTATTGGTTTATAGAGATTTTTCTTGTGGTGTATTGTTCAGTGTCATGATATTTTCCTTATGTTTGCACTGTTTGATGTATGTGTTTATGCTGTTATAGTTACGTTTGGCGAGCCTTAGTTTGGATGAATTGGTTATCCCTACCAAAGAAGCTCAAGAAGCCGCTTATTCAGTAGGACGTACTCCCTCTGCTGTTCAGTTGCGAGTTGGCGAAGTTACTGGTAGTTCAGGTTGGAGGCGTGGAGAACTTGAATTCGAGGCATTAATGCGTAGATTAGACTCTGCTGGATACCATACGGGTTATGTTTACCGACTAAGTCAAGTACGTCAGGGTTCAACTGCTGCATCAACTCTCCAGAGACCACCAGCAGATTTACTGGATAATGCCTCCACTCAAAAATCTCGTGATGCCGCAGCCCATGTTCGTCGTGCAGCTAGTCTTGGCCGTGGTCTTCGTGGCCTCAAAGATGTAGAAATACCGCCTACAGTTTCATCTTTTGCAACTTCATACTACGGGGATGAGGAAAGTAGGTAAGTAGGAGACAGTACTTATTTTCTTCCATATTGTTTGTTCTTAGCCATATCACCGTAAAGATTTGTTGAATTCTTGTTTCAGAGCTGCTGCTATTGCTGAGATGAAAGCCAAAACACTCTCACTTTCACGTGCACACTGGCTGAGCACACCGAATGCGTACCTCCGGGAAGAGATTGAAGAAGTGGGTACTCCGAATCCTAAAAAGATAACCCACTGGACAGAGGGGTCAGATGTCAATAAAACACGCACCGGTGGAGTAGCTGTCCCGCTGATTGATCCCAATCAATTTGCCTTGCAGGGTTCGGATCCACAGGAGTTTAAAAATCAACAGAGGAAGGTAATATTTCAAGTCAAAAAGCATTAACAGGTTTATTTTATAGTGTCTGTTATTATGTTAAGCCCATATATCTTATTCTTGCTTTCGGACAAGCCAATCTATTCATTTTACTTGAGACATATTTTGACCTTGTTAATTATTCGCTTATCAATCTTGACTGTTTTTATATGAGCGCGTAGGCGTGTGTACACTTCTTATTCCATTACTCATCACATGTCTGTAACTTATTTTTGTGTGCTTATAAATATTGATTAACGCTTGGTTAAATGGGAAGTTGGCTTACCCGCCATCTCCACTGCTCGTCGTTTCTATTCACTTCATATACAAAATATATGTATCCAAAATTCCAAAAAAAACAGTCAAGATTGATAAGCGAATAATTAACAAGGTTAGAATGTGACTCAAGTAGAATGGATAGAATGGGCTGTCCGAAAGTTAGAATAAGGTATTTGGGCTTAACATAATAACAGACACTACAATATACATATATTGTTCGGGAGCACTCAGAACAAGGTCATCTTGATTGCTGTTAGATGTCATAAGGGCGGTGTCCAGCTCCTGATTGCTCTACTGTTAAAGGATGTTCCTTTTTAAGAGTATCGGAAAGGAAACTGGATTGAAGATGATCATAGAAATCCGAAAGCGTGACCTCAGAACATAAGCGGCAATCGCTTGATTCCGGTCACACGACCAGTTTGTGTTTGATCTTTTAACTCCTCTTTCTTCAGGCCTTACTACCGGCATTGGGAATCACTGTTCCCATATAGGCTATGGAGTTTTTAGCCTCGATATTTTCTAACCCCTCTCATTGTGAAGAGAGAGGACCACTCCTAGTGGCCTAGTGAAAACACCTTATTGTCTTGTCTTTTCACCACAGTACAGTCGTCAGTACAACTGTACCTTCAAACCTGAAGTTTTCTCCTTTTTATTATACCGCTCTCTAACCAACTTGCTTGTATTGGTAGGGCATAAAGAAGCGAGTATTTCAACCAATGTAGGTCGATTGAGTAGTCACTATAGGTGAACCCAATCACCACACCAAAATAACAGCTACACTTTGGTCAGGAAGCCCTGGATATCTATGAGGTGAAACTTATTTAGTGGTTTACATATGCTGTATTTGATGTGCATTGCCAAGCACACATAAACTAGGACGAGATACCTTTACAGTACTCCTTGTTTAACGTTGGTTCTCCGATCGGTGTCATTTCTCAATAAACATTACCTGCAAAATGAATAAAATCACTTCAGTTAATTTACAGTATTGTTACCTTAGTTTTAACAGACACTCAACAAGTAGTTATTAAGTTACGTACATGATATATGTACATTCGATGTGTAGTGATATTTTAGATTAAGTGTTATTCGTAAAATTGCTTGTAGAGAACATAATTTTGAAGCACTACATCTAAAGACGGTATTATTTTTACCTGATATCTCGTATTGCCGTTCAGTTCATTTCTGGATCCACCGCTTCAGATGTATAAAAGTACTCATCTTTGCTTTATCATTTAATGTGTTTGAAACTTGAAGTTTACAAATTGTTTGTCATGTTATTGTAGGTGAAAGATAAATATTACAAGGATGTAAGGTCTGCTGGACCAAAATCTCGAATTTTACAAGGTATTGACTTAGAAGATGAGTCAGATGAAACTGATGGGGGGATGGCATCACCTAAGGTTGTCAGTCCGAAAGGCACACTGCTTCGATTGGATCCTTCCAACCCTCCGTCTCTGGAGCCTGGACATGTTGTTGTGGTTGGGGCAGCTAGTAAAGGTATCATAAATCGTAATCAGAGACACAATGTTGGTGTTTACCAGTCTGTATACTCGCCAAATCCATTTGATAGGATGACAGACGAAGATCTTGAGCGCTACAAAGAAAATGTTGAACGTAAAGCTAAAGGTTTACCCTCATTAGAGGAGGAAGAGGCAAGAGCTCGCATAGAGGAAGCTCGGCAGGCTGTGGTGGTGGCACGAGAGGTGATGGAAGCAGCTTCTCGTATGGGTACAGAACAAAAATGTAAGCTTTTCCATTTGTTGACAGTTATAATGTTTCTAAGTTTTTTTGTAATTAGTAGTGACCGCGAAATTCTGTGGCTGTGTCTGTCATTGAAAGGCGCACCTCAAAAGTACATAAATTTTGTGAAGGCTCTTTACTCGAACAGTACTAGTCGAGTCAGAACTTATGGCGAACCGTCATCTGCTTTTGCAACTTCAAGTGGTGTCCGTCAAGGCTGTTCACTTTCTCCATTTTTGTTTAACTTCATCATAGACCTACTGATGGAAATAACATTCTCGTCAACTGAATTCTCGGGTATTGATCTCCTTCCAAGAGGTCCACTTATTGACTTTGAATACGCAGATGACATAGTCCTGTTTGGTATCTTGGACTGATGTATATATGTGCCTGGTCCTACGTTGTAGCTGACTGACTGACTGAACTGGGAAGAATAATCAGAGGATTATAATATCATTTGATTTCTGCTGAAAAGAAATCCATTGTAATATGTGAATTTCTCGAGCCACAAGTCACTTTATTTTATTTTTATATACTGTTTACTCGACCACTTCATTTTTCCAGAATATCATAGGATCTTTAGGATAATGAATACAATACAACCAAATATTATGGAATGCCATAGAACGTAGTTTTTGATTGTTGCTCTAGATAACATGTCCATTTTGACTAACAATCTATTTGAATGAGTCTCCGATTTGATTTACTGACCGAAGATTACACTAACTAAATTGAGTACTGTTAGTTTCCGCCCGATTGCAGTGTGTTGTACAACCAACAATGACATATATATTTTGCTAGTGTTCATCATCCAAATATGTTTAGCAATAAGAATATTGACTCAATGTGTCACTGTCAACTTTATACTTCATCCGTCCTGATCTTTTGATAAACCCAGAAAACTTTAAGCTTGGAAACATTATTGTTCCATAATGCTTTCATCCCTTACAGGTTCCCGATAAATTTGTACTTATTATAAATGATTAATGTATTATGCAATATAAAAGTACTGTTCATTATTGTCTGTAGTGTCATACATTTAGCGCGACTTAATCTCCACTCAGTTCAAATGTAAGAGTTTCCGATATTAGCGTGACAGATATTGTCATTTGTTTCATCAATCTCAACGAATTGCAATTGTGTTGTTATGAGATGTTAATGTTGATCCTATTTTTGAATTGAGATCACAATTATTTTTATTTTGTACTGTTACACTACAAAATTAAGGAGTATATGCTACATGAAGACAGTAAAAACTCATTAGACATACTTACCTGAATATTTATGCCAGTAATTCAGTTAAGTTTTTGATTGAGACCCCTAAAATGATGATTACCATGTGTTCACTAGTGACTGGCTTCGTGAGAAAATTCTCGGAATTCTAGTGAGAAGCCGTGAACAGTGGAGCTAATCCGTGTCGGGTAGAGACAGGTATCTATCTCAGTACAATGGAAGATGGTCGCTCAATTTCGTGGATTGGTTGAGGTTAGACATTAACACCACTGGACACCGGCTCAGTGGTCCAGTAGGTTAAGCGTTCGTGCGCGAGACTGAAGGCCCTGGGTTCGAATCTCGCGAGAGGGATCGTAGATGCGCACTGCTGAGGAGTCCCATAGTAGGACGAAACGGCCGTCCAGTGCTTCCAGGTTTTCAATGGTGGTCTAACATCAGTCGGTTCACGATCTCAATCAAAAACTTAACAATCTCCACAACCCCTAAACTGATAATTCAGTTAAGGTTTATACTGATATTCTTAATTGGATTTGATTTTGAAGCTCTCAATATTCTGAAAATTGGATAAAATTTTCTTACTATTTTCATATCTTAGATAATCAAGAACTTAGTTTAGATGTAAGTCGTATTCATGCAGTTCGGTCAGATACCAGTGGAGCTGAAGCTAGCCATGATGATACTGAAAAAGAGGTTAGTTATGTTTATTAATTCTAAGGCGTTTACGATTTTGAGTAATATTTACTAACAGTCAAACTTAGAAAGTATAAATACCAGGTTTATCTGTCCGATCAAAATTCAAGAGAACCTAGTGTTTCGTTACCAATAAGTATAAAGATACACAAAATATACGTTAAGCTTCAAAAGAAACTTGATTATTTATTGATGGATTCTGATGATTCATTTTTATTTATTTTCATCAATTTCTATAAATTAGTTGCACTACAAATATTGTTTTAAATAATTATTACTAGTATCATTGTAGTATTATTTCATGCATAATCGACCTATTTATCGACGAAAATCGAAATAATAGTAGGTCATTTGATAACTACGTGTTAATAACACAGACGTTGGTGTTAGATATTGAAATCTTACATAAAGTTCATAAGTTATGATAGCAATAGTCCCTCTAATCCACAATGTTAAAAAATGAAGACTCATAAACAAAATGTCCCAGTAAGATCTACGCAATGATCAGTTTACCTCACTACAAGATTGTCCGCTAATTAGAAAGTAAAATGGAACGTATTGGCCAACGACTATGCAGATCTACTTGATATGAATTATTTCAGCTTAACAACAGATCATATCACTTGCAAGTTTATTATCCTTTTTGCCTTAACATTTTTATTCGTTAAAGTGCACCATTTCAAACACAATAACATTATTGACCGAAATCCTAATCTCTTAACTTTATTAGAATGCGATTTCAATCGACCACTAGTTATGTCCCCGAAGAATATTTACTTCTCTTTTGATAGTGTGATGCTAACAGAAAGGTGAGGATTTACAAAGCAAGGGTCACATTTATGTGTTTGAAGAAAATATGGAATTCAAAACAACTGTCTGCAAACCAACATCAAAGTCACAATCGTCTATACGAGCGTCAAGACAGTCAGTTCTACAGTACGGAGCTGAAACTTGGAGAACTACCACAATCATCATAAAACAAGTATAAGTATTCATAAACAATTATCTACTCAAGATATTCACTGTTCGTCGACCGGATACTATGAGCAGCAGTCTACAGTGGAAGAGAACAAAGCAGCTCCAATCTGAATAGGAAATTAGAAAAAGACGTTGGAAGTGAACAGAACATACACTGATGAAATCATCGATTTGCATCACGAAGCAAACCATAACATGGAATCGTGAGTGGAAACGGAGAAGAGGAAGACCAAAGAACACACTGTGTGGAGAATTATAAACAGATATGAAAAGGATGAATATGACTTGTAAAGAACTGGACAAGATTACCGATGACGTAGTTGGATGTAGAATGCTGGTGTGTTTTCGATTCTCCTTCACGAGGGGTAACATGTAATTAATTAAGATACCGTCAAACTAAAGGGATAGAAATGAGTCTATAGATACTGCCTTTGTAGATAATTTTATTTGCCTTTATGATTTCTCAAGTCACATATTTTGAGTGTGGTTATAAATTTCACATATTTTTCTTTCTCATATCAGGCTAGAAAAGATGATAGTATATCAGAAAGGAAAAAGAAACGTCGTTTCAAAATGCCTTCATTTGCACGAAAATCCAAGGTTAAAGAATCTAAAGAAAAGAAATAAATAAAACTGACGTTGATATTTGGGCTACTTTTTTATATATAAGTAGGCAATGCATCAATGACTTCAACTTTTCAGCATTACAAGCATGCGCCAAAATGAACTTGGTCTGAGATACTTTATTGTTTTTTTGCAATTGCTTTCTTCACATCAGTGCGCTCAGCTTTGTATCTGTCTGGCTAAAAATTTTCAACTGCGTACGCCGTTATTGTTCGGGCTTACATCGAATATAATTCACCTCGCCTAAATTTTTCTTCAATGTCGAATATATAGATATGATCTTGATTTGATCCTTACATTTCTACGTTTAATCCCTAATCTACTAACTTATGGCTTGTTGTGAAATTTCTTATTATTCGTATTGATCTGTCATAGTGGCTCGTTTGTTTAATTTTAATTGCTTTGTTAGGAATTATGCATTCATTGTTCTTGAGAAGGAGTAAATAAAATCCTGATTTTGTCAATGATTCGTTGTTACTCCTGTGTAGTTCTTATAAAATTATCTTGAAAATCGTATACTGAATTCACTATGGCTTTATTGATATTCTTTTATTTTTTCTACTGCTTTATTGTTTGCATCTATAAACGTTTTTTTTATTTATAAGCTTCAGTCTTGCTACATGAAGATTCTGATAGATTGCATTCTTCAGGATATCCATACCGAAAACGTAAAAAATATTCGGATACAATTCTCGTCTCGATTCTATGCTTGTTTGCTTCGATCTATCGTTTAGCGGTCAGCCAAATGCAAAGTAAAACCTGGCACATTTGTATCGTTTCAAGTTGCCACACCACATCAGCGTAGTGAAATAAAATTCCCAAAAGTAGTAGAAGTAGTAACAGCATCAGTAGTAGAAAATATAGAGTATGGAAAGAAAAAATTTTTAAGGGGGTTTCAAGATTCATGATTTCAGGGAAGGCTGAAAGTGAGTGCTTCTGTGCTATTTCTATCGATTCTGAGCCATATCATCCGATATTTTCAACCACTGATCGATAGAGATTTGTGCTGGTTACTACGTTGTTGATCCGTCTAATATTCACAGTTGCCTCGATATTGAAATTCATAATTGACATGCCTTTATGTTAGTGATACATGGAGGGATTGTTCATCTGGCAGGTTAACTTTTATTTCTTTCATACAAATCTATTTAATTACGAAGGACACCGATTAAAGCAAAATCACATGAATTCACTATATTTCGTTATTTTCTCACCGACTGCTTATGACTAGTGATATTTCAAGATAAAGAATCGCAAATGGGAATCAGCATATTTATAGAAATATAGTTTGCCAAAAGTTAGTGTACAAATGTATCAGTATAGTGTAGTAAGGATACATATATTAGAAATAAATTGAAATGTTAGAATTGAAATATTATATGTTAAGATTAGTTCCGAAATATCGACTAGCTTAATAACAAAAGATTACAGGGTGGTAAATAAGTTATTCTGTAATGAAATACACGAAGAGAGATTAGTGATTATTGAGAACAGGATGAGTTGTGTCAGTTCTGTTCAGGTGTGTAGTGACACATTTATGCTCAGTGACACTGGATAATCGTAATAATCCGTCGCTGGTTGACCACTCTGATCTCCAATCCTAGTGAAACCTGAAGGTTTCAGATTCTATCAGTGGATTACATTCAGGCGTACTCTACTTTGTCAGAAGCAATTGGAATTCTATTTTATATGATTAGTGATAGTCTGTAATCTTAGTTTTATCCTGGTTAAAACTGATCCACAAAATTTATACCTAATAATGTAGGAAATGATGCCTAGTCAGAAATTCTATATAATTGAGCATGATTATTAAGTGTCGGGGGTATTTATATGTTATTTGTATTTGATCATGTCTTCGAACCATTACTTGTATTTTTTGGGACCACTGAGTGAGCAGAGCTGGGGTATCGGATAAGGTACTAAGTGTACTAAATCGGCTGATGAAGTAGTGAATTTTTGTCAATCGAGGTGACTGGGACATGTGTTACGTATGTCCAACTACTGCCTATCATGATGGGCGATGTTTTTTGATTTAAGAGAAGGTTGGAAGACAATTTGGGGCGGCCAAATCAAGACTTCTTATCAGTTCATGTTGTCAATGCCTATTGGACTGATCAAATATAGGTAGATGAAGACTACGTGATTAGGGTCCGGTGATTATCATCACCAATAGTTAATGAATTTAGGTGATATGTATCAAAATCGTGTGCAGGTGCGTTAACTCTTGTCTTCCCCACTTCCCTGGATCTCAAAATCTTATATCTTTAAACCTTTTCCAATACCTAAACTTTCCTATTATATTAGTAATTATTATTAGTGATATAGTTAGTACTACTGCTACTACGGGGTTGGTTTTGACAATTTTATCTCACTATGTTAATGTGATATAGGAACTTTGGCCGGTGAAAATGTGTTAGGCTTTATGTTTCACTATAACTGACTAATTGATTCTATGGTGATAAGTTTCATATCAACTTAATTCACAACGTCCTTATATATTCATACAGTAATGCTGAACTAAGCCATCAATTCACTATTTATTCTCTCTATCTTTGTATTGACGAAAATTAACAAATTTAGTATGATTTATAGTTATAAACTTAAATAGACTGAAAACTCTCAGGATCACCGTTTGACAGTCAAGTTATCCGAAGCTATAGCCATCAAACACCTCAAGCCATATTTATGTATCCAAAAGGAAACAGTTGAGAATCTTTCCTCACGATGATGACGTTATCCTTGCAACTTTTTTTCTCTCCATCTAATTGTATCATTTTATTCAAATTCACAGCTATATATTTAATTGACTGATGTAAACTCACGGGATGTCCGGACAAAGTAGGAGACGGTGAAGACAAGTAAAATAGCAACGGAAGCGAGGCGATATAACATGATGGTTGTCGAGGTTAGTGAAATCCGTTGGATCCAAGCTAAATAGATGCTGTTTACTCCATTCATGAAGACAAAAATGATTCGCACACACAAACAGTCGCACTGAAACTGTGTAAAGAAGCACGAAATGAACCAGTAGGATGAGAATCTCATGGATCCAGAATCTTCAAAACAAAGAAGAGGAGAATCACAACGAATATTATTCACTGTTATGCACCCACCAATGATAGCAATGACGACGATAAAGATTATCCTACCAGAGGCTGCAATCGATCATAAGGAAATGTCCACTAAAGGACCTGACCACGTTGATGAGAGACCCAAACGACAAAGTCGGACTGGACAACACCGGGTATGAAGATATCGTGATATGAAATGAATTAAGAGAGAGGAACGATGATGGAGAGAGCTTTGCAAATTTATGTGCATTCTATAGAATGGTTATAGGCGACACAATATTCCTCCATAAACACATACACAAAGCTATATTGGTCTCACTAGATCCCACTACAGAGAAGCAGATGGATCATATTTGTATGACGAAAACTATCCGGAAGGTCAATGGATGTCGTGATAAGTAGGAGAAGAGCCGACATAAATTGAGAAAACCATCGGGTAGTGGTCATGATGAAACTGATGCCAAAGAAGGACTGGAGAAGCGGCAGATACAAATATTTATAAACAATTGTCTACTCAAGATATTCACTGTTCGTCGACCGGATACTATGAGCAACAGTCCTACAGTGGAAGAGAACAAAGCAGCTCCAATCTGAAGAGGAAATTAGAAAAAGACGTTGGAAGTGAACAGAACATACACTGATGAAATCATCGATTTGCATCACGAAGCAAACCATAACATGGAATCGTGAGTGGAAACGGAGAAGAGGAAGACCAAAGAACACACTGTGTGGAGAATTATAAACAGATATGAAAAGGATGAATATGACTTGTAAAGAACTGGACAAGATTACCGATGACGTAGTTGGATGTAGAATGCTGGTGTGTTTTCGATTCTCCTTCACGAGGGTGCTAGGCGTTAGCAAGTAAGATCTTAATTCATGCTACTCATAATCACTACCGACTACTTTATTGTATAATCATTTAGTTATTCTATCTCCGTGATCTTTTGTTACTTTGACGTTCCAGAATAGTCTCTCAAATATCATGTTTATTTATAACACTATATACTTCATTACTTCACCGCAATGATACATATCCAATGTTGTTGTTTTAATTAAGTAAACTTTTCAGTAGTTTTAAATTTTAAAATATTACAGGTTGTTAACGAATGATGAGAACTTAACAAGATAAAATGAATTCATGTTATTCTGCTCTTTTTTTTGCTTTTGTCTTCTTTATGATAATCGAAGAAGACAAGTGTACAAAATGATAGTACCTGAATAAAACATAATGTTTGCTTGACACTCAAGAATAATAATAGTTATAATCTATGGACAGATTAGGAACAAGTATCTTTCATACCCTTAAATATCAATAGACATATTCAAGTCATTGAAGGGTAAATAAATTATACTGACTGAAAATATTTTCAAAGATGACAACTTAAATGTCTATGATTAAAAAAAAGAATATTATTCGAGTTATTTTTTTATTGTTATGTAAACTGAAGAATATGTTCGTTAAATGTTAAGAAGGCAAAAAGAAAAATAAAAAAAATTTTATCTTCCGGATAATTTTATTTACTACATTGTTTAGAAGGAACAGATGGTTTTAGTCTGTTATCATCAAAATAATATTTGTCATTCATCTAAGAAATAGGAATTTTGTTTTAATATTGATATTAATGACTGAAATATAATGGTTATTTAAGCTAATTGAAATAACTGTCAAATACGATTTAATTGAGAAATATAAAACAATAGTTTTCAAAGCACTAACTAGGTGATAACTCTTGTTATTCATTGAGCAAGAAAATTTTGATGCTTTTTCTTCACATAATAATGAGTAATTATTGTTTAGAACGATAAATTCAGTGTCTTCTTGTTTCTAGTGATTAATTAGCTTATACAAGAGTTTCATATATGATCGAGTTTTGGCTTCTAGTTAGCTTCAAATGAAGTGAACTTAGAAGGTAATACAACGAACGAAAGAACGAACAGATTTTTTCTGTCGTAAAATGGTATGCTTATGTTGATGTGTGGGCGAGAATGATCATGCTTAGTCAGACATGTAGACAGTCTGACAGGTGCCAGATAAGTTATATATTCCCTTATCCTTATTATTGTGACATATACACATATACTTATTATTGATTGTTCATTGTTGTGGATTGTGTCGGTTTCGGGTGTGAAAATATATTACGTTCTGGTCAGGCTGATTACGTGTTTTGATCTGAGTTGTTTTGACGTCTTGTAGAATAGACACTGGGAGGGATCTAGTGTAGATAATCGTTTAAGCGTTATAGCATATGTATTGGAAGTAATATGTATAGAAGTAATGGGGCTCTTGGGTTATTTAACACATAAGGGATTATTGGTTATGAATTTCTTAAGGTATATACTCGCCAATGAAATGAAGTTCTGATTGTTGATCCAAACTCAAAGACATCATATCACTTTTTACAAAACAAAATTTATGATAATCAGTTGCATGGCCATTCCATAATTGTTTGTAAACCAATAAATAACAACCAGAAAACGTATCAACATTTCGTAATATGAAAACGCACTATTGATATTATATCTGTAT